TTATAATATTAATAACCTTATTTATTAACCTTATTCTTAATATATTACATTTTATATATAAAATAAAAAAATATACAAAATATATGATATGAAAAATAGAGCACCACGGAGCTGCGGAGTCCCATGACTCAAACAACCAGTGGTCAGAGCTGCAGAGATATTGTGCGAAGAGTATTAACATGTGCCCACACCCCGGTAACCAGTGAGTCGAGGGAACCAGAGGGGGTTTAGTGGGTAGGCTCCTTGTCCCTTTAGGGATGTGGAGAGAGTCCCACATAACCGGAGTAGCTTTCCCCGGGGCACCCGGTATGCGTAATGCTTTCCCCCTTAAAAAAAAAGGACTGCAGTGACAGGAACCTTCTCACCATGCGTGCGGTTTCTAGGATCGGAGGTCAAAAGGTATCGGGCCCTTAATCCAACTATTTAGCGAGAGCTTCTTGTAATGTTGATGATTATCATTTTAATAAGATTATTAATATAACCAATATGATAATTCTAACCGCTAGTAACCTTTTACTTAGACCTACAAAGTATTTCAATGCAAAAGGTTAAACACGCAAAGCCATGGTTATAAGCATTTGTTGTGAATAAAGTATTTTAATAAAGCATTTGTAAACGACGGTCCTGGTATCGATCCAAATTACAATGTGGAAATTCCATGCAAGTTACAAGTTTTTATTACAAACTCACAGACCGCCCACGATTACACAGTTTATGTTATTAATTACGTTTCGTTTTACGTGTTTAAATTATTCTTGTGTGACATACCGTCCGTCCTATCTGAACGGTAAAGGTACTTCTCCATAGGGCTGCGTCAGACGCACCGAACGCGCGAATTTAACGGATTTGCATTGTCTTGATGTGAAGGTCGCATTGTTATGTAAAATAATACAAAGTAAACTTTCAAACTACGTCGCCTCTAGGGTTCTCAGGTTGCCAAATCTTATAGCTGGACAGACCGCTTGGCCGGAAATTTAGGTAGGAAGGCCGGACTCTTGCATTTTGTCTCTTTCATCGCCGGCGCTCGGTCAGTCGTTTGCGAAATGTAATTTACCTAACAAAAGCCGGACAACTCGGACACCGTTTATTTTAACCGAATACACAATCAAAAAGCCTACCTATGTCCGGCTCTATCCGGACGCCTGACGTTAGTTGCGGGCCGTGCGTGCGGTGAGTCCGGGTAGGACAATGGACGCGTACCTTTATACATCTACAACTATTTATTTCAAATTTTTCGATTTGTTATTTATTTTTTTACATTAATAAAATTTACTGCTTTAATATCAGAATATAATGTAGTAAAATATAAAAAAACAAGAATAATAAATATGGTAATGTCTGCAGACAGCGGCTGTATTGCAAAGACATGCAATTTAGAAGAAAATGTGGCTCCGAGAAAGCTTTAAAATGAAATTCAATGCGCAAGAAACTCTCAGTACGACAGAATATATTGTGAATAGAAGAATATTGTCAATGCGTTTGAGAATAATCGCCCGTGACTTCGTTCGCGCGGATTTAAAAAAAAAACTTACTACCCTATGTGTTCTTCCAGACTATGTTCTATATCTATACCAAATTTCTTCAACATCCGGTAAGCTATTCTGGAGATACCTTCGAACAAACATCCATCTAAACATCTAAAAATTCGCATTTATAATATAAGTAAGATGTATATTTATATTCCATCTAAAGCCTGAAGGTTTTTCCAATAACAGATCATGTACCAATCTACTATTACTTAGGATTTCTGTTTTCGTGCGTTCTTTTACCGCGCGATGAAATAACATAAATACCTATTATAAATTTATCAGCATTGGGTACAGCGCGATTGTTATGACAGAAGAAAAATTGTGATTTAAAACAGTGTTTTGTTTTTTTTTGTAGTAATGTAGTTGAATATTTGGGCTGCGATTCTAGTAGCATTTGCTATCTTTGTTTTTCTTAAAGACAATGTAAAAGATATCTTATAAAATTTACGTGTCACAATTTTCGTTCTCATACTCCTCTGAAACGGCTTGACCGATTCTCATGAAATTTTGTGAGCGTATTGAGTAGGTCTGAGAATCGGCTAACATCTATTTTTAATCCCGCGCGGACGGAATCGCGGGTGACAGCTAGTCAATATATAAAACTCACTTTTAAATGGAACAATATAAGTCAATGTCGCTTTCATTGTAGATAAGCTAATCGTTTAGTCCAAGGTTCGATTGCTAATAAATTTGAAGGATTTTTAATCGAATACTAATTCAACATTACTGTTAACCTAGAAATAATAACCTTTGGAAGAGGCTCCTTTAACTGGATAACATAAACAATAACTAATATTTGTTTAATTTTGTAAGCCAGCAAACGAACGCGGAAAAGTGAAGTGACAGCAGCCCATAGACAACTGATGCAGATGCGTTATCTTTAATGAATGAAGGAGGAGATATATATTTCCCCTGTATATGCCGCCGTCGTATCCACTTCCCTTTCCATTTTTTTTATTATAAGAACAATGTGGAAAAGGAAAGAGGTTTAAACTAGTACATTTTTTTATATAATAAGGTGGCAAACGAGCATACGGCCACCTGAAATCGCTGAAATAGCGAAGTAACCGTTGCCTATAGACATACGCAATTGCATTTGCGTTGCCTACCTTTAATCGACGGAGGAGAGGATGCACAGAAAGAACATTTCCATGCATCCTCTCATCCGGAAAGTCCACTTCCACTTCCCTTCCTCCTTTCTTTATAAGAAAAAGGGTAGGAAGGGAAAGAGGACTAAATTAGGCCTCCGGGACGCACACTCATCAGACGAAACGCGGAATGTGCAGTAGATATTCTGTGACATTTTTATAAATATTGTTGTCTCTATTTTGGCAAAAAGAATAAAAGAGATGGCTATATGCACCTTATAACATGTGGAGGGGTAATACATCAATCTGATCTTGTCGTATTCTATGCCATTAAAAATTATGATTAAAAAATCTTATTATAAAAGCAAAATGCATTCGTATTATGTAACTTATTTTTTGAAGTACAATCGCAACCAAAACTGCTTTACTTAAAAGCATGTTCAATATAAAGACTGACGAACAAAAGATGACATCTTATACAGAATGTAGGGCTCTCAAATAACCTTGAAACTATTCCATGCTGAATCAACGAATACCTTTTTAGAACGAGAAAATGACCCGGTAGGTATAAGTTAAACTAAGCCACAGTATAGTTAAACAAGGATCTGAATCGGTATGAATCTTACTAATATTATAAATGCGAATGTTTGCATGTTTGTTAGAACATATCTCAAGAATTGCTGCATAGATCACGCTGAAATTTGACATAGATGTAGAACGTAGCCTGGAAGAACACATAGGCTGGGAAAGTCTGGTCTGGCAGAACATGTAGGAGACCAATAAGTCCTTATAAAACCTATTTTTATCTCTGTTTTGTCAAAGATAGTGACAGGGATATGTTTAAACGGGAATTTGGTCCCTGGCACTTCCAATCAGCGGGTCTAACATGAATTGTGATAATTTCCTTCGTCTCGTCATACACAAAGTTTGTATGAAGTGTAGCGTAACGCTACACTAAAAATGTCATACTAATTTTGTCATCAAGATGGCGATACGAAGGCGCTTGTCGCAAATATTCGTGGTAGGTCCTAGTAAAGGATGAATGTATCGATAAATTTAAAAAGAACGAGTAACTTTGTTTCTTGTTAAATGAAATGTAAGGTATTGGTAAACAAAATAATCAAAATATGAGAACTATTCCATATTTATCTACCTTTAAATTATCAAATTCTTTTACTAAAAACGTTTTGAAAGTTTTTAAATAGTTTGTGAAGACAACTGAAAGCAGTTTGGATAGTTTTTATTTAATTTAAATTAACGATTCTCTGTTGGCTTTTTAACTTTATTAATACTTCATTTAATTCTAATAAAGTAAATTAAACTTACATACGTGTTACTAATTTAACATTAAATTGCAAAAATAGTTTAGTTTCTGAAGGAAAAACTTTTTTTAATTCTTTCTCTTGCATCAACGCAACGGAACTTACATAACAATTGTTTTTGATTACGTCAGGCGTCCTTGACTCGTAGCTATTCTTGTTATAATACTGCAAAGAATGCAATGTCGTATTGCATTTCTAATTAAATAGGATTTCATGGTTACTTAAATTTAGTCGTGTTATATAATTAAATACCTTATATCGGATTGTACGAAAGTTTCTTGTTAATATTTCGATAATGTTATTGTCTTTTACTTTTTGATAGTATTTTTTTAGCTATAAATAATATATAGGAATTAGTCCAAATTTTATTTTAATGTATGGAGGTAGACTTCAAAATTATTTTTTATAGATTTTGTATTAACATAAAAATACAAGTAACGGTTAAAATTAACTAGAAAATGTATTTTAGTTATCAATTAAACTGAAGAGTTTGAGAGTAGGATGCTATTTATGTACAAAGTTAATATCTTATTCCACGAAAGATGTAAAATAAGTTGTTATAAAAATGCAACTTAAATCAGATTTTTATGTATGAAATTAATAAAAACTTTTTATTAAATTAAAGTGAGAAATAAATGTATCAAACCATCTCAAAATTACTTTAACATTTTTATAAAAAAAGCACTACAATGTTTCAACTTTCGATGTAACTTGTAAATAAGATCGTAACATCAAAACTGTAAGTTTAAAAAATTATAACAAGATTATTATATATTCTAAACCTTATTTCTTTGGGTTTGCGTACAGAATCATTAATATTTCATTTCTCTTAACGTAGTATAGAAACCCGGTAATTGCATAATTTAATTTCAGATATGTAAAAAACAATGAAAGTAATTTTAATCGCGCAATAGACACAATATATTCGTCAAACTTATTAGACTAGCAATAACCGAATAATTTAGCAATCAAATTAAACTCATGATACAGGATAAAAATAACCAAAAAGTAAAATTAGATTCGTACAAAAAATAATAAAAATCAAATCAAAAATTACTTACCTTTATCCGCCCGCCTTCAACAAGCGAACATTTTCAGATTGTAGATAATAAAAAAAATGCTCAATTTCGTTCAGAGAGAGAGCAGAATATTTACAGTTATATACAGGGCCGGAATTCGTGGTACTGTGGCTTGCAAACGTCATTTGGTCCGCATATTTTTTCGCGCCTGCGCGTTAACAAAATGGCGACCGACGCGTTGGGTCGATAGTTCCGCGATAAGGTATCTATAGGCCCGCCCCCATGCCGGGTGACATTGTTGAAACGGGGTAACGTGAATTAATAAGGTCACCATTTTGTATTTACGCGCGCTTTTATAAAGTTGCTAGTAATCTGTAATGTTGCCATTAAAAAAAAATTAGCAAAATTCCTTCCATATTTACTGTGCAATTATTTTTATACGATTTTTTACACACGGACAGGAATTTTGGTTATAGTATTATAAAATTTTAGACTGTGCACTTGAGTTTAAAACATCTGCAGTGCATTTATTGATTGATCCTTGAAGTTTCTCAACCTTGTAGAATACAGATGAGTTATGGAAGTATCTTTTAGCGTTTTACCAAGTTAGTTGCGTCAATTACAAGTCTTCTTTGTCCTTTATTGCTTCTTCTAGAATGTCTATGATTATTGTCATACTATGATTCACTTCGCTTTTCAATCTTTTCCCAAATTAAAGTTAGAACTATAACTAACCTAACATAACCTAACATATTTTAAACAACGCGACATTTTTTCCGTTACTTTGTATTCTTAAATTCTCTTGTGTGTTTTTAGTTTGATAAAAAAAATTACACCAAAATAAAAAGCACAATATAATAATTTAATAAAATAATTTAATCATCGTCTACATCTGTTGATAGATATCGGACTTCTGGATCGCTTGTGACATGACCTCGAATACGCGCCAACGTGCGTCGACCACGGGAACTTCTAACCTCCAAAACTAACCAAACTAAACCGATGAAACATAATATTGCCAATAATGACATAAGACTCGTCTTCAAGCTACCAGATTCTGGAAACGATAAGAAAATTATCAGTCATATAAAACAGTAGTGCAGTAAAATAAGTGTAATTTGGAATAATCTGTGTTAACGTCTACTTCTATAAATTCAATGTTAGTGAGAAATTATTTTTATTAGTCAATAGCGGTCGCCCGCGACACCGTCTGCTTAAAAAGTAAAATATAATTAGTAGCTTATGTGTTCTTCCAGCCTATGTTCTATATGTATGCCAAATTTCATCAAAATCCATCCAGCCGTTCTGTAGATACCTTCAAACAAACATCCATGCATCCGTCAATCTAAACATTCGCATTTATAATATTAGCAAGATTTGTGTATTTTTGACAATTTTAATGTTTAAATTGATGATAGAAACATGTCTGTTTTTAATAGATCTGTGTTTACAGCCTTATAAAGTTAAAATAATTTAGATAGACATATTTTAATTTCTTATTTCGGTTGAGTTCGACTATAAGTAAAAAAAAAAATTAAATCTCTGCTTTATATAGATTTTTCTTGTTATTAGAAGTTTTCTATACTTACTTGTAGGTTCTTTCGCGTACACTATAGTATTTTGGTCTGTTTCTCCAATTTTCTCATCTTTTATTCCTTTTCCAATCACATCTTGAAATACATCTTGTATTGGCGTATACGAGTAATCTATTTGAATTTTAGGGCTAGTTGTCTTATGTGTTGTTGTCGGTAAATTTGTTGTCGTGGTTTGCTGTGTTGTTGAGGATTTGTATGGTGGATTTGTTTTATTAACAACCTTTTTATCTACAATCTTTGTTATGTTAGGTTTAGTTGTGTTTGGTTTAGTTGTAGTTGTTAATTTAGTTGTTGTTGGTTTAGTTGTTGTCGTTGTGGATGTAGTTGTTCTTTTTGTTGTTGTTGTGGTTGTTCTTGGTGTAGTGTTGGTGGTTGTTACTGTTGTAGTTGAAGCTGTTTCTTGTGTACTGGCTATTAATTTTTGCGTCTGTGGCGCTATCTCTGTAGTATTGCTTACATTGTCATCATTGTTAGTATCCCCATCTGTGTAAAATGATAAGTTTTAAAGTAAATAATTAGAAAGGCATCATGTGTTAAGAGGTTTCTTTTATGCTTTCTCGTTTGTAAAACATATAACTGTAAAAATTATTATTAAAGATAAAATGAAAGAAATTTAACAACAGTGGTAGAGCCCGCTTTTACATCACACGATTTGTCCCGGCTCGCCCGGTGAAATACCACGACCACACAGAAGACAGGCGTCAAGTGGAAGCAATTCCGCGTACATTCTGATGAGTGTGCGTGCAGAGGCTTAATTTTAGTCCTCTTTCTCTTCCCATCCATTTTTCTTATAAGGAAAGGATGGGAATTAGACACTTCCACTTCCCTTCCTTTCCTGCCCACTGTCTGTCCACCAAAGTCTTGACTTTCCGGATGAGGGGATACATGCGAAAGGAAATTTTTTTCTTTCTGTGCATCCTCTCCTCCGTTGATTAAAGGTAGGTAACGCATATGCAATTGTGTATGTCTATGGGCAACGGTCACTTCGCTATTTCAGCGATTTCAGGTGGCCGCTCGCTCGTTTGCAACCATTTGATAAAAAATAATTTTGTCATAGTAGAGATAGATAGACATATGGGATGGGATAACATTGCTTACCATTAGAAAATATACAAGTATCGAAGAAATCAGCACAGCAGTTTTCTGCTGCGAAACAAGAAGTTGTGCAGCTGCAACCAGCACTGGTCTTATTTATCCCCAACAGGTCGCAACGACCAACGCAGGAATCCGCTTTAAAGTATAATATAAAAATTAACGTAACCACTGTCTTAATGTTGGAACATGGAAACACCATGATGGGGTCTCAATGATTCAATCATTCATTCTCTATCAATTTTCTCCTCATTCATTCATATGTAAGTTCATTTCGTTCATTCAAGAGCTGATTAACGTCTTTGCTTCAAAAATATTCAGCCTTTGAGTCAGACAGTCAACAAACATCCATACTTTACAATTTATAGTAAACTTACGTAGAAGTGTGGAAGGTGTCGTGGCCTCAAGCTGCGCTGCAGTACAGTTTTTGCCCTGCAAGATGGCCACGTCGTCTATCGCGATGTCGCTCGTGAAACTAGACCCTCGGATGCCTTCGATCACAATCTGAAACATTCAGGTACATTAAAGTTCGTTATAAATCTTCAGCTCACTATATGTCGCCACTAAGTGGCTCGGAGCCTTCCCTAAGTTAGGGGTGACTAGGCCATAGTCAACCAAAATCCACTGCAGGTTGACTTCACACATATCTTTGAATTTCTTCTCAGATATGTGCAGGTTGCATCACGATGTTTTCCCTCACCGTAAGAATTCGTTATATTACACACAAATAGAATTGGTATTATACTTCTACTACTAGGAGTAGTCATAATCAAGTTACATTAGCCCCTTTTTCCACTAGCAAATTCGGCTCTCTTATTTCCCAACCTAAATAAAAGTAGTAGATGCTTTCAATGCTTTAAAATTCCTATATTTACTTATATTTTCAAGTTGTATTTAGTTTCTCCAGTCCCAATGGTGGTCTACAAATCTTGCTAATTAAACTTCATTCACTTTCTGGTTACTGCTTTAGTTGTTTTCACCGTGTCATATCTTACTAATATTATAAATGCGAATGTTTAGATGGATGGATGGATGTTTTTTAAAGGTATTGCCGGAACAGCTGCATGGATCTCCATGAAAATTGGCATAGATATAGAACATAGTCTGGTAGAACACATAGGCTACTAATTGAGTTTTTTTTAATTCAGCGTTCATTCATTTTCAATATTTTCAAAGCTAGAATGTCTATAGGGACTTCGCAATGAAACGACGCAGTCTCATCAAGTTTGTCTTTTTTTGTAAATTTTAGTTCTTTTAATTTGTAAAAGCTTGTTTTTATGATATATAAATACCTGAAAGTTATCCGAGAAGTCGACAAGCGGTAGAACAGCCTCAAACCAAGTATTACCCAGGTTACCCCATTTCTCAAACAAAATGTATTTCTGTTTCTCGCTACTGCGCAGATTGAGGAGGGAACTGAGAGCATAGTTCTCCGGTTTCTGGTACACTCGGAGACCACCAACTGTTCTAGATGAAGAAAGTAACTAATTAAAACACCTAAATTCAAATAAAAATAGTTAATTGCACATTGGACTAACTAAACGTGAGTTTAATAGATTAATAAGAATGATAGTATGAGGTAATACAACGGCAGAGAAGATTGGAAGGGGAATATAATCTTACTAATATTATAAATGCGAATGTTTCGATGGATGGATGTTTGTAAGGTATCTCCAGAACAGCTGAACGGATCTCGATAAAATTTTGCATACATATAGAACATAGCCTTAAAGAACACATAGGGTACTTATTATGTCCAAGCGGATGGAGTCGCGGGCGACAGCTAGTAGAAGAATAGAATATAATGGAAGTTCAAATTAACTTACTTTCCATACATATGGTAGAAGAAGACAAAGCATCCATCCTTAGCTAAGGAGCCATCGTATATTGGCGATATGAGGCGCGCTGTATCATTTTTTAATCTTGAAGTACTTTCGATATACATGTAGTAACCTAGAACCAGTTTATACTAATTTAAGTACTATTTACATTTGCTTGCTTATTCAATCATGAGACGCTTACTGCTGGGCATAGCACTCCCCCAAAGATCACCACGATGATCAGCCCTGTGCTACCCGCATCCAGGATACCTTGACCATATCATCGGTCCATCATCTCCATTTATTTAAATTGAAATTTTTACATCTAATGATGCAAAGCCTTTTAAAATAATTATCTAATATATAAAATTCTCGTGTCACAATTTTCGTTCCTTCCTCCAAAACGGCTTGACCGATTCTCATGAAATGTTGTAAGCATATTGAATACGTCTGAGAATCGGCCAACATCTATTTTTAATCCCGCGCGTAAGGAGTCGCAGGCGACAGCTAGTAGTATATAATATTATAAAGAGACAAGATTTATATTGCATAGAAGACAGACGTGAATTGGTCGATCCGCGTTTCGCCCAAGGAGTATGCGTGCCGGAGGCCCTTCAGTCCCCTTTCCTATCCTTTCCTAATAAGGAAAGGAAGGAGAATTGTAGTGAGTATTGTACTATACCTGAACCCCCTTTCCCATAAGTATGATCGTAAGGTGGTCCGGTGAAGAGGATGAACGAAGGTGATTTATCATTCAGCCTGGTCCAGTCGAAGTCATGGAGATCATCCTGCATCCAGCCACAGATATTGGGATCTTCAAAATCACATTTCGGTAGACCAGATGATGTTGCATCTATTAAGACATATACTTATTAAATCATAATCTGCCATTCACATTTCCAATGGTAATGATGGTCTTACATGATCCTCATCATCAAGACAATGTATTTTATCTTACTTAAATGAATGAGGTAAGTGCGTACACCAGTTTCTTTTTGGGTATTTTCCTAATCCAATATAACTTTAGCTGCCTTTTTGCCTTTGTCTTAAGAAAATAATAAAAAAGATAGAAGAAAGAACAAACTAACCAACACACGATGGTGCTGTTCCATTCCATTTTCTCCCATCACAATATATAGTTGATGAGCCAATCATCTTGTGTCCCGGCAGACAGAAGAAGACCACCCAGGCATTTTGTCTTGAAGGTATCTCCACTCCATTCTGTATAGAAGGTACGGTGCATCCAGAACCTGAAAGAGGATTTGTTTAGTTTCACCATGGTTCAATAATGATCAATCTTGCACGAAGACGACAATCGAGTAAAACGAACAACTGGTATAAGATGCATGTTGGACTATAGGAAAAACTGAAGAAGATTGCACGCGCAAAAACTGAGGCAACAATCTAACTAATGTTATAAATACTAATGTTTGGATGGATGGATGTTTGTTATAATTTATCTCCAGAACGGCTGCACGGATATCAATGAAATTTTCCATTGTTGTAGAATGAAGCCTGGAAGAATGCCTAGGCTATATATTTTTTTTAATTCCCCACGAAACGTGTTGCGGGCGACGGCTAGTTTATACTATATTGTTAACTTACGAACACACACTGGCAATGGTACATCCCATTGCGACCCTCTGCATGTGGCATATTTGTTCCCAACTAACTCATATGGCGGCGAACAAATGAACTTCACTAATCTAGATTTCTGTCTCACTCGCACTCTGCCATTCGCTAAACGAGGAAATCCACAAGACACTGCCGATGGATACATATAATCTGAAACAAGAAATTAATTATGAAAATTTACTTTAAGCGCTCAAACATGAAATGGGGCCTTAACCCCCTATAGAGGGGTTTATACACCGTTACTTACGGGACATACCCATACTACGTGACCTATTTTTTTAGTTTTTTCGACCCCTCTCTCCCCTCGGTTACCACTCGTAGTACATGCCAAGACCCGCCCCCTTTAGTTTTTACGTAGTAATTTATAATTATGATTTGTAATCATTTCACAGGTAAAAATTGAAAAAGAGATAATTTGGCTCATACTCTTCTTTATAGCATAAGACTGCATGCATTCTTAAAATACTAGTGAATTATGTATTATGAAAAAAAAAACAAGTAACGACTATGTAATTAAAATCTGAGCCCCCCCCCCCGCTCCTGTGCCTGACCGTAGTATTTTAAAGACCCCCCCCCCCTAAACGGGTCACGTAGTATGGTTACGTTCCCTAAGCTTTGATTTTTATTTCTACTTATTCATGTTGTAAAATCTCATCGTAAATTGTTACTCTTAAGATGTATTGTTGTGCGTAATTTTGTTTTTGTAATACGATTCCTTTTATACCAGTAAAAATGGAAAGAAAAAGGTAAAACAGGTTAGCTCGGACTGGAATTAATATCCGATAAAAAGCCCTTATGTTTCATAGAATTTAAAATATCTGTTTATTGGTTTCATTCCACCATTTCAAACCATTCATATTTTGCATAACCTACATACGTATACGATCGCAGGAAAATAAGTTTTTTTTAGGGTTCCGTACCTGATAGGAAGAAAAAGGAAGCGGAACGTTGTCAAGACCCTTTTTTTTAATTATTAACCGACTAATATTTATTGTAACCTTTCAACTACGCTCTGGGCTTATATAACGTTTTTCACTCCATTAGTGTTTTACGACGATAGTCGAAATGTGGAATTTGAACCCTCGACCATGTGATCAGATGTGTATCCATTAGGATATTGGCAATTTGAAGTTATGTTAGTATTATAAATGAGAATGTTTGTATGGATGTTTGAGGTAATCTCAAGAACAGCATGGATCCCGTTGAAATTTGTCATAGATTTAGAACATATAGGCAACTAAATAAGATTTCTTTTCAGTGTGCGAAGTCGCCGGCGACTGATATTTATTTAAATATTTACAAATTCTTTTGAGATCTTACTTATTACTAATATTATAAATGCGAATGTTTAGATGAATGGTTGGATGGATGGATGTTTGTTTGAATGTATCTACAGAACGGCTGAACGGATCCCGCTGAAATTTGGCATAAACATAATCTGGAAGAGCACATAGACATTTTTACTTAAGTTTTTTTTTAAATACCGCGGCGACAGCTAGTATTGCATAAAAGTAAGTGATGCTGTTGTGATCGTGAGAAACGCCTCCTACGCAGCCTGCTGCCGGAAGTGCGGAGGACATACTGCCAAGAGCGGGCATCCGGTTGATAAATATTTATTTATTGCATTACTACGACACTTTATTCATTGTTACGATATTTTTAAATAAATTAAATTATATAAACTTCCAGACAATACTAGATGTAGCCCGCGAAACCGTCCGCGCGGAATTAAAAAAAATTGTAACCTACGTGTTCTTCTAGACTATGTCTAGAAGAACACGTAGGTTACAATTTTAGTAATGTAATTATTATTAAATAATTGTAGGTAATGTATGTCTATTCTATATGTATACCAAATTACATCCTGGATCCATCTAAACTTTCGCATTTATAATATTAGTAAGATTAATTAGAATTCGTTTTCGCAAATGGCGCGATTTCTTTACCAAGTCAAGTGTCAATTAGATTAGTGACGGGACATAAACGTTGATATTTTAATAAGGCTAGTGTTGCGCCGATACATGTTTATTGTAAACCTTTATGAATCCTTTTTTGACATTCGTCTAATGGGAATTGACCCCTCAACCACGTGATCTATTCACGTTTCATAATAACTGGACATATTTTGTAACATTTTAGGAAAGAATACATAAATAATTGTTTAATATGAGTGTTAAGAAAAGAGATTCACCGGAAAAAATATTCGAAGTTATAAAATTCAATCTTATGTCAAAATGTTTTGTAACTGGGTCCCAGGACGATGTATGTATCATTATTTTCGAGTTATTTATTTAACCTTCCATTATTCTCTACCAAACCTTAAAAATGAGGTTACAAAATATAGGGTACAAAAGTACATTCGCGGAAATCCGCGGTGTTCTACTTTTAGAAAAATTCACTTGTTTCTTGCAAAGAGACTAATGCCGCTTATTACAAAATAAACAATAAGTTAGCAGCAAGTTTTGCAAATGACAGAATAATCATGTCATTGTCTTATTACGTATAAAATGTACCAATGATTTTAGCATTTGTAGAACACCGCCAAATTTCCCGATTGTACATACGCGTGGAAAATATTATGCTCCCAAAATAAATACGTTATATTAGCGAGATATAGATCTCTGGTAGAACAAACAAACTAAAATGCAATAATATAAATTCAATTTAAACAACTCATATTTTAATTTCAGAATTAGAGGTTAATAAAATAAATTATAAATTCGTTTTTTTATATAATAAGGTGGCAAACGAGCGAACAGCCACCTTAAATCGCTGAAATAGCGAACTGACCGTTGCGTATAGACACACGCAATGTCATATGCGTTGCCTACCTTTAATCGACGGAGGATAGGTTGCACAGAAAGAAGAGAGGACAAAATTAGGTCTCCGGGACGCACCCTCGTCAGACGAAACGCGGAATTGCAACCACTTGACGCCTGTCTTCTGTGTGGTCGTGGTATTTCACCGGGTGAGCCGGGTCAATTCGTGCGAAGATGTTAAAGCGGGCTCTACCACTGTTATAAATTCGTATTTGGAAAGATATTAACAAACAAACTTACCAGCTTTAATATATCCGATAATAAATAAAACTAAAAAACACTTTAAATACATTTTTATAAAATAAAAAAAAACACTTTTGTACTACTTTTAAAAAATTAAAACCCGCGTCCGGTAAACTCGTTTATCGTTTTATAACACAAAAATAATCACAGATTATAAAAATGCTGTGTTTTCAACATTTGTAACTAGGAATAAGTTCTGGTCACTAACAGAAGCACATTCAAATGACATATTAACGCGCTTTTATTTTTTTGTCGTTTAACAAAGATTAAATGATCAAGCAGAAGGTATGCTTAGGTATTAAATTAATGAAAAAGGTACCTTCGTTACAGCGAAAGCCACTCACTAGTTTCGTTTAGTACATTTCTTTTTTTAAAAACTTAATTTTATTTCCGCCATAAAACATTCCTCTTAGGAAGTCGACTTGGACCAAATTAGCAATCACTGAGTTAGAATAGTCTGACATTAAAATCATTGTTTATCACAATTTGAGACCTCTATTCTTCTTCTACGCATACTTCATTACCGAAGGTCGTACTCGTATTGGTATGCCTTCACTCACGCTTCACCCAGATGCCTCCAGGCCGTCCTGTCTTCGGCTTATCTCAGGGCTAGTAGCCTGCTACAAAACATACAAAAAAATGTTGATATGTACTTTGATTCACTTATCAGTAGCTTACATTCATTGTATGAATGGGTAATAAGTTTTTAAGCAACACTAACAGTTAGGCATTAAAGTATAAAAGTATCTTCTGTTCCTCTTCTCATCTATGTGCGAAACGGGATGTCGTTATACAGCTATCAAAGGAAGCGGACTTTCCACTGATATTATAAATAATATTATCTTTGCTTATTGTATTTTTGTTTAGATTATAAAACAAAAAAGGATAGCTTATCGAAACTCCCATGGGTTTGGGATATGAATCACAGATTCTCAATAACCTTAACAAACTTTACATATCTAATTTAAAAGTTATTAGTTTTCTATACATTTTTATTATCTTTTTAAATAGAAATAATATTTTGTTTGTACTTTTTAAAATTAAAATTATTAAGTTAATTCAGAATAAATTAAATGTAAAATAAAAAATAACTATTTCAGATATAAGATTAAAAATAAAAGCATAACAAAAATATAACAAATAGTTTTGTAAAAATTAAAATTGACCCGAGCAACGCGGGGCGCGAGTGGCTAGTATTATTTTCGAGGAATATTGTAACAATGCACCAGTGTTCTTTGAACTTTGTATTAGTTTTTCATAATTATCAGACGTCATGTTTTACTAAGTTTACTAATAATAAGCCTCAGTGCTACCCTTAGTAGTTATTTCATATTTGACAAAGTAATACTTAAGAAGATGAATAACTAAACTATAATCAGAAATAGATAAATCCTTTATGAATATTTCTTTTGTTTTAGAAAAGTAACAATTTTGGTGAATCTACAAGTTCCTAAAACATTTTTAAACCGAAATTATATTATGTAGCAGTTTTCGACTTTCAGCCAAGATTCCTTGAATAACCTCAATGAAATATGAATCATAAGAAGCTGAAATCTATAAATTATCATAAAATCAGACATCTGATGTATTATGTTCTATTTAAAAAAAAACAGCAGAATATGACAACAACATGAGCAATACCTACTAATAGTAATAAAAATAATTCAAATAAATTTGTTGAATTTAATAACAAATTTATTAAAAATAAAAAAAAATATATTTTATAATGTTTGCTGTGTCTGTGCTGTAATCCTTACAATTCTCCTCTCCTAAAATCCTTGTATCCACAAGGGATGACGTCACTATAACTAATGACAGTGACATTGACAATCGACGTCACCGTCAGTAATCAACAAAAAATTCCTTATTTTTCCCAATTTCACTATAATAAAGGAATTAATTGGTAAAACTATTGGAAGATTGGAACACAGTGTTTATGATTGCAACTATCAAATAAGCGTATCAAGAATTTAAATACAAAGTTTTTGCGCGCCAACATGAAAATATCAAGTCGTATACAAATATAATCTGTATTTTCCAGTACACTTTTGGCCAGCGGAACATGTCACTGTATTAAAACGCAGAGTACACTTTTAGCAAAAAAACAAGGCTTCTTAATGTGATATCCAAGAGTTTAGTTTATTTGTTTCATTACAATGGATTTAATTAAAGAAGAAGAAATGTCTACATGCTGTGTGAACTGTTTGATCAATTTCAAAGATAGAAATATACAGTGCTACAAACTACAGAGTATACATTGGAAAATTATATTTAAGGTAATTTTATTTATCATTTACAGTAAAATTATACTGGCATAACGTAAATGAGGCATGACACTGCAAATAAAAATATTGAAAAACATATTCCCTTCCCTTTCATTTTCTTTGGAAAAAAAGAGATATCAACACTTAATGTGTTTTCGCAGTGAACAGTGAGTTATTATATTTATAATATTTCAGGTTGACGCACTATCTCTGTGTTTTATATGCAAGAAACTTGTACAAAATGCGGAATGTCTTATAGAAAGAATTCTAAATAATCAAATCTTATTTAATTTAGATAATGTAAGTATCCACAAATATTAAATTTATTCTGTGTTTACTTTTATCAATATTTTAAGCTAATAAATACCAAAGACATAATTTTTTTTAATAATTTTTTTAAAGTTTTCAGAACAAATTGTTATACAACCACATTTGAATGTAGCAGTATTAGATGCAATTGAATTATCAGATATTGATATGCAAACAGAAGAACAAACTATTGTATATAAAAATGGAATATATAAAGAATATGTGGTGAAGAATGAAATGGAATGGAAATATGAAGAACATTTGCAGAATGAAAATGACTTTATAGGTATAGAAATTATTGATTATTTTATTTAAAAAAAAAACAACTAATCAGCCTGACTGATTTTACTAATATTATAAATGCGAATGTTTCAAAGGATTTTTGTTTAAAGGTATCTCCAGAAGGGCTGAATGGACCTCAATGAATTTTGACATAGATGTAGAACATTGTCTGGAAGAACACATAAGCAACTAATTAAGTTTTATTTTCAATTTTGTGCTGATGGAGTCGCAGGCGACGGCTTGTAACCTAGAATTAGTAGCCTTTGTGGTCTTCCCGACTATGTTCTACAAGTATGACAAATTTCAGCGAGTTCTGGAGATACCTTCTAACAGACATTCATTTAAACTTTCACATTTATAATACTTCCTGTGCCCGCGACTCCGTCTGCACGGAATTAAACAATAATAAGACTATGTGTTCTTCCGGACTATATTCAACATCCATGTCAAATCTCAGCGAGATAAATTGAGCCGTTCCGGAGATAGCTAAAAACAAACATTCATTTAAACGTCCACATTGATATTATTAGTAAGATTATTGTAAAAAGTAAATAACATTTATGTTAATTCTTTTTAGATATAGATATAGAAATCAAAAAAGAACCTTTAGACATTGCCGAATATGAAAGTGATGAAATAAAAATACAAAAAAAAACTGTTTATAAGAAAAAAGGAATTAAGAAAGATAGAAAAGATAATGCTAAATTAGGTATGTATTGTCTTGACTATGGAGCGTCGGTGGCTCAGTGGTCTAGCACTTGACGTGCAATCTGCAGGTCCTGGGTTTGAATCCCGCCATGTACCAATGTGTTTTTCGATTTCCGATTTACATATATACATTTATCCGACGTTCTCACGGTGAAGGAAAACATCGTGATGCTGCACATATCTGTGAAGAAATTCAAAGATATGTGTGAAGTCAACCGACCCGCACTTGGTCAGCGTGGTTGACTATGGCATAATCACCCTTAACTTAGGGTAGGCTCCGAGCCCCTTGCTGGAGATGTATAGTGAGCTGATTAATGAGATGTTTCTGTGTGTTTCCACTTCTTAATTACATGTATAAAAACATGCTGCATTGGTTTTTGTATGATTCATACATTTTTTTGGGATATAGTTAAACTAACCGTTTTCCTGGATTTTAAAACAGTTGGCTATGTGTTCTTCCAGACTATGTTCTAAATCTATGACAAATTTCAGCAAGATCCGTGCAGACTGGATATACCTTTTAACAAACATCCATCCGTCCATAACATATTTTGAAGAGAAAAAGTAAAAAAAAAATTGTTTCGGTTTTAACCTTTTTAGTTACTAATGTGAAATTGGAAGAAAAAAATTGTCAAATAGATGATGTAAAAACTATAAATGATATTGTTTTATTTGAAGAATTAAAAAAAATGAAAAAACTTGAAAAAGCTGAACTGAAAAAGTCAATCGGTATTTATATGGAATTCTATATTTTTTTACTTAACTATCTACACTAAGGAAAGTACTTAAAGACTCTGAGTTAGTAACAGACAAATTAACTGTCTTATTCAGTCTCAATGTAGATATCTAGAATTAAATTTACACTTAAGGTGCGTTTTCACGGGGTACAGCAAAGAGCAGCAGACGACATCGTCATGTGTCGTAACAGCAGATAGCACTTTGTAGTATTCATGCAGTAACGAATGGGGGAAGAAAAGAAGAAGAAAAGGGAGAGGAGCGTGTGTCACTTTCCTTCTAGATCGATATTGGAATCTGAAGGCGGATAAACAAATACTGTGGCCTATGTTTTATTTATTTTGCCGGATTCGCCAAAATAGCGAAGCAATTATTCTTGTGCAGTATGCATCTGAGATTACCAATTTGCAGACGTGTTGGTATCCTTTAATAACACAGAAAGAAAATATTTTCCCTTATGTGTCCCCTCCTCCGTCAAATCTCTTTCCTACCTGTCTTTTCCTTGGCAAGACCTATGTCCAGTGGACAGAGAAAAGCTGATGATGATTCATTTGTAAGATTCCTATATATAATTGCAATTGCTGTCTGCCGTTGCTGAAATACCGTTTACCGTTTGCCGTGTCTCGTGAAATTGCACCTTAACACGTTAGCTGCCGGAATGATTTTTTGAAAAACGAAAAGATTTTTTTTTTAAATTTTGTCCAAAACCATTTGAAAACATCTAAAAATATAGTAATACCTTATTTATATTGGTCATATACTTATTATTTACATATGAATGGAAGTATGGCTTGTCGGAAACATAGTCCGACATGGCAGCTAACGTGTTAACAGCTAAAGCTTAAAAATAACAATATTTTTTGTTGTAGAAAAAACAACAATTCAAAAGATTTTTATAAATAAAGAACAATTAATGCAAGAGAGAAATATGAAGGCTAATGAAAAGATATTCATTAATTGTCCATACAAATGTATGGATTGTGTGAAAGGTTTTGCATATAAAGGTACTTATCAGAAACATATGGAATTACATAGTAAGGTAAGGTAGTAAATACATACATTTTTTGCTATTATTTTATGAAATTTAATGCTAATAATTAATTACTTTAAAAAAAATTCACGCCATTATTTTAGGAAAAAATTAAAAAAAAAAAGTTTTTTTTTTATCTTTTTCTTTGTGATATATTAGTTTGGCATAAAGCTTTTAATGGAACAGTTTTGTAAAAGTGTTTTTTTTAATTTTTTTTTCGTAATTTCCATACATTTTTTTTTTCAGGATAAAGGTAATTACGTATGTAATATATGTAAACAGAGAATGGATACAAACGACAAATTGTTTCGGCATAAAAAATTACATCAAATGTAAGTTTTTTTGTTTTTTTTTCTAATATATAGTGGCAAAAGAACAAACGGCCACTTAAATTCACTTAAATAGCGAAGCGATCGCAGCCCATAGACATCCTCAATCGACAGAGAAGGGGACAATATTTCTTTCTATTCGTCCACTCCTCCATCAAATCCACTTTCAATCCTTTTCTTATAAGAAAATTATGAAAAGGAAATTGATTTTTGGGTGGGGTCGTATTGCTAAGGGAAATATTCTCTTTCTGCGCATCCCCTCTTCTATTACAGGCAACGCATCTGTGAATGCTGATGACTGGGCAGCGTTCGCTTCGCCATTTCGGCGAATTTAAGCGGTCGCTTGCTAGTATACTTCATAAAATTAGTATATTTATTTTTCAGCCGTTACAAATGTTTGATATGCGGTGTCATACAAAAGGCATGTATGAAAGATCATTATAACTCGTGTCATTCCAAAGTGGCTGTACTTTACAAATGTCAATCCTGTCCTAGGACATACACGTGAGTGAATTTAGTATAAGTCTTAAAAAAAAACATTAATAATCTAGTCGTTAGTAATCTAATATGATAGTCTGCATCAAATCAAAAGATAAATTTGTAAACAAAAGTATATTTTACGCCCCCCCTCTCTCCCCCCTCAAGAATCAATAACATAAAATAGATATATAAACTACTTCGTAATATTAAAATATTTACAATTACTATAAAACTACACTGGAACTCAAAAACTACCATTGAGTTGCTATGTAGCTACAAAAAAAACTCAAAAACTACTTGTTAGTTTTTTAGTTATCTATCCCATGCACTACTTTTTGAATATAAAAAATAAATTTTTTCAGCCTACCAAGTTCTAGCCTTAGCAATGTCCTTGATGCTACTTATTTTTATGTTTATTTTAAAATCATGTATAATATGAGTAGTGTAAGCCGACGTTTATTTTCTTACAGAGATCGTTATTGTTTAAGGAAGCATGTAAACAGTACTCACAGAAACAGACGTGTGATTTGCGCACATTGTATGAAAACTTACGCTAGTAAAGATGTACTCAGAAATCATATACAATTGTAAGTTACCAGCTCATATGTCCCCACTGAGGGTCTCACAGTCTACCCTAAGTTGACCAGGCCATAGTCAACTTAAAATAAAGTAATAGCATCGGGGGCTCATTGATCAAGAACTTGACTTGCAATCTGCAGGTCCTGGGTTCGAATCTTGTCATTTACCAATGTGGTTTTTCGATTTCCTATTTACATATGTACATTCGACGTTCTTACGATGAAGGAAAATATCGTGATGCTGCACATATCTGAGAAGAAATTTAAAGATATGTGTTAAGTCAACCCGCAATGGGCCAGCATTGACTATGGCCTAATCACCCTTAACTTAGGGTAGGCTCCGAGCTCCTCGGTGGGGATGTACAGTAAGCTGATGATGATAAAAATACTAAAAATCCATTATGTTCAACTTTTTTCTTGGATATCTTTTTTTGTACAGACGACATCCAACAGTACTTCCTCCAACAGTATTAAAGAAGACAATTATTTGCAAGGAATGTGGTAAAGCATTCCAATCTCCGTCCCAATTGAAGGCTCACAGTTTAAAACATTCCTCAGAAAAGAGGTTCTATTGTGTTGAATGTGATAAGTAAGTATAGAAATATATTTTATTAAAAAAAACTCCGTTCACGTCAGCCTTCAAAAGACGATATCTTATTTCTATCCAAGCTCTTGAACTAAGATCTTTGACCTTGAATGGACAGGACTTGTGCGCTCATTACTTCTGTCAAATGAAAATGAATGACATCAAAGCTTAAGCCTTTGGTTAATTATAAAGAAGGCATATCTTAGTACAATCCAAATTCTTAAACATTGAGAAAGGAAAATAGAAAATAATACGCTAAAAATGTTAGATACCAAATTAATAATAGAACTATAGTCAAACAAACCAACGAACGTGATATGAGCCGGTAAATGTACTGTTGCGTTTAGTTCTGACAGAATTTATGTTAAAACCTACTTAGACTTTGAAAATGACATAAAAGAAAAAAAAATCATGAATTCTAAAGTAACTTGTGGCACTTTTTGACATTGACAGAGGGGCGCTAGTGTGCTGTCATAATTTATTCGACTTATGCCCGCCAGTTCAGACTCAGATAACTAAAAATTACCCCGTTAACCTAATTCAAGCTATAGATTGATAAGGAATTTAATTATGTAAATAAAAAATTCTTTTCCAGAAGTTTTAAGTCTGAAAATATATTAAAGCAACACTTAAAATTGACAGCGCGACATATCACCCCTAGTGAATTACGGTAAGTATCTTAAAAATATTATATAATGTAATATTCCCTTTTGAGTACATATTTCTGTCCATTGACTTCGATACATAGACAGGCTATAACCTGGATATTTTGTGTCTAATTGATCTTCGCCATTTTGGCGCTGATAGTAACGGTGGTGAGGATTTGCACTAATAGAGATAGAATGACGCGAAAGCAATGACCTATTTTTTATAGAGATTAGGTTTTGTCTCTTTCAGTTTTCCTTGCACACAGTGCGACAGAAGATTCAGCATCAAACGAGACTTGGAACGACACATGAACAGGATACATCTCAATATAAAACCTTATAAATGCGATTTGTGTGAAAAGGTATATATTTATAACATCAAAATGTCAATAAAACTGCACAAAAAAAACTTAACTGCTAGTCTATGTGTCCTTCCAGCTTATGTTCTACATCTTTGCCAAATTTCAGCGAGATTCATTGATTCTGGAGATAGCTCTTAACAAACATCCATCCATCCATTCACTTATTAGTAAGATAGTAAGATCATCCTTGTCGATCTATGGCTAGTAACTGTATTCTAGAAATAAAAAGTATGGTTTGCCTCGAGTATAACAAACATTCATACATTTTCCTCAGGCATTTAATAATAGTTGGTGCATGAAGAAACATAGAAAGATGACACACGAGGGATACAAGAGGCCGTACATATTCCCTTGCACTATGTGCGATAAGATATTTGACGTAAGTTATGATTTTTTTTAAATAAACAGATTAATTTGACCCATTTTAGTCATATTTGATGTCAAAAGGATTTTCAAACATGTTTGATCACTCTTTAAACGTCCTTTTGACGTAAGCGTGACATTTATGTTAAAAGGGGATACCATAGTCCAATTTTTGAGGATTACAATTTTGTAATCTATCGACATATAAAACTTTAAAATTTATAAATCTTAATAATTCTTAACCGAAACTAAACTATAAATATATAATTTTTATGTGGCTTATGTTTTTATAGCGAAAATCTATTCTCAAATCGCACATTAGAACACACACTGGCGAGCGACCGTTCCAGTGTACAATATGTCCGGCGACGTTCACGCAGTCCAGTAGCCTCCTCACACATACAAAACTTGTACATCTCAAGCAAACAAGAGCTGGAAAACCAAAAGGCATCAAATAAATTATTTAAAAACTAAAATTTCTTTTAATTTCCATTTATCATCCACGAAGAGGCATTTTTATGGTTAAATTATTTTATGGCAACATTATCTACAAAATCTGTTTCTGATCAAATCTTATTTATGGATCAAATGAATGTCAAGTCAACAGTAACTGACAGTTGCTCAGATAAGTTGAGAAATAAAGTTATTTACAAACAAAAAATTATAAATATTTTTAAATGTCTTCTATTTTAAACGAAGCAAATGCTATTTGTACAATTTGCCTACTAGATTCAGAAGTCAATAATATATCGCATAACGATGATATTATTACTAAAATTACACAATGTTTTGGAAAAGACGTAAGTTAACCTACCCGCGCTTTTCAACTGGTAACTATTCCTTCTATAACTATTTAAAAAAGCTAATGTAATTTTCAGATTTTAATTACAATTCTGCCTAGAATTTGCAAGTTATGTGTGGAGAAAATTGAATATGTATCTTCATTTCGCGATCTTATAATTTGTAATCAAAATATACTTTTAAATAAACTGAAAAACAATACTCATTTACGTAAAGATTTTAAAGTTGAGAATGAAAAAGAAAACAATGAGGATTACGAATATACCAATATTAAAATTGAACAAATCGAAAATGAAGATACCAACACAAGCCAATCCAAAGATCAAGATAATTCTGATTATGATGATAAGCTTTCCTTATCTTTAATTAAAAAATCAAAAGAAAACATCCATAACAATGAAAAGGTAAATTTTTAATTTAAAATATCTTTAACCATCAATATTGGTCTACAAAGTATTTCCTGAATGAGAAAGCTTTTGTCATTTTTTTTATTCAATGTTTTTGTCCATTTACTTTCAGCATCAGATAAAACAGGAAACACAACCAAAAGAAACGGTAATAATACAAAATTACACAAACAAATGTTTAACATGTTTTAAATTATTTCCTACACAAAAAGAATTAGTAAAACATTACAATAAGGAACATAAAAAGGAACAAGATAAAGACACAAAAGATATTGTATATGAAATTATAACAGATGATAAAAATATCAAATATAAATGTAGAAAATGTGCAAAGTTATTTGAGAGTAAAGTTAAAATAAATAAACACATGTTATGTCATGTACAAGAGAGACCTTTTGTATGTAAATTATGTGGTATGTATATAAATATAATTTATTATATATAAGGAAATTAATATTTAAAAGTAAATAAAGTGGTATAGCATGTCACATATAGAAAAACTCACATTTTTATTCAAATTGTGAGGTATTTATAGTTATTTATTAAAAAGGTACACTAATTGTATGTTCAATGAACCCAAGCATTAAATTATTCAAACTTTCGTGAGACATTATACTAAACTGATATATAAAGACGGCCAAACACTCACGTATATTCGTCCGGTGGCAGCACCAATTAGTTTCGAGCCCATCGGGGGGCCTTCATCATGAGTGGTACTGGTATTATTTCACGGACGCGGCCCGTCGCTCACTGCGCGCCTCAGCTCTTAGGGCGCATCCTTAGGGGGAGGGGGGAGCGATGTGCGCCGGCGTCGTCGACGATGTTGATACCAAAGTGTCGATGGTGTTGTTGTTCAAGTTTCCGGGGGCACAAAACATACTGACTATGTCCAGACAAGCATATTCAAATAACACTCAGACAATACCAACAGAGGAACATACAGATCACAGGCATACACAACATTCACTAGACAAGGTTTATATATAAAGATTGGATATAAATTTAGATGACAGTTAACTAGGTAACAAACTTAAATATCAAATAGCCAAAAAAAAAACAGAAAAGCTAAAATATTGAAAGTGCATTTAATGGTATTGTTGGTGGTAGATGGTTAGTTTAGATTTCTAGATTGTTAATTCATTGGCTGCGGGTTTCTGAACCTACAGATATCATCAGCTCACTATACGTCCCTACTGAGGGGCTCGGAGCCCCAAGTTAAGGGTGATTAGGCCATAGTCAACCACACTGGCCAAGTGCGGGTTGGTTGACTTTACACATATATTTGAATTTCTTCTCAGATATGTGCAGGTTGCATCACGATGTTTTCCTTCACCGTAAGAACGTCGAATAAATGTACATATGTAAATCGGAATTGGAAAAACACATTGGTACATGGCGTGATTCAAACCCAGGACCTGCAGATTGCAAGTCAAGTGTTTGACCCTGATCCACCGACGCTCTGAACCTTAATCTGTTTAATAAAGATAATGCCAGGGATGATAATATGTTTTAACAGAAATGAACTCAGAAACCCACAGACAAGTCAAATTAAACTTAATTTCATATCAAATTTGGGTTCACTTTTGTTGGGCTTCTATGTTAATATGCTGTATCCTTATCTTACTAATATTATAAATGAGAAAATTTAGATGGACGTATGGATGTTTGTTCGAAACTTTCTGTGGAACGGCTTAATGGATCTTCATAAAATTTAGCATATAAAACATAGGAAGAACACATAGGCTAAGAATTATTTTTTTTGTAATTCTTCGCAGACGAAGTTGCAGGCTACAGCTTTATTAATAATATTTAAGTGTTTTTAATTTATTTTGCAGGTAGAACATATAAACAGGCATCAGAGATAGTAAGACACGGCAGAGTACATGATGGTTTGAAAGTTCCTTGTAAGTTCCGATGTGGATATAGTACAGCATATAAAGGTGCATTAAAACAACACGAGAGACGACATAAGAAAGAATATATGGTAAGTACTTTTAACTTCTAACTTAGAGTAACCTCCGAGCCCCTCGGTGGGGACGTATAATGAGCTGATGATGTGATGTGTACTTTCAAATATGATGTAAATTTTATCTAATGATTTAAAAACAAAACTAGCTGTCGCCTGCGACTCCGTCAGCCTGGACTTAAACTTAATTAGTATTGTGTTCTTCCAGACTATGTTATACATTTATGCCAAATTTTATCGAGATCCATGCAGCTGTTCCGGAGATAACTTCAAACAAACATCCATCCATCCATACATTTGCATTTATAATATTTTTAACATGTAGCTAGTAAGATGTAACTTTTTGAGTACTCCAATAATGGTTGGTCTCATAGAAGTTTTTGATTAATATGAGAAGTTGATTAATTTATTCATGAAAGACAATAAAATATTTGACGTATGATAGATGTACACTTTTTTATAAAAACTAAAAACCAGCCAGTGCACATCTCAGCAGATTATAAACTCCAATGGAAATAAATTTATATTTTTTTTTTTGTAAAATGGTTATATTTTTTTTGCAATCTGTACATGTTTTTTTAATTTGTGTATTGCGAAATTCCATAAAAAATAATGGATAGTCTTCAAAGGAAATTTCAAGCTGCAAAGCTTACTGTCCCGCTGAAAGTTTGTACCCTATATATTTATTTTTTCAGTATACATGTGAGAAATGTGGCAAAGGTTTTGAAGTGTTAACTTGGTATGAACAACATCAGAATGTACATACAGGGGTTAAACCCTTTGTTTGTAATATTTGTGGAGTTGCCTTTCATATGGACAGGTAAGAGACATGCCCGGGATGTGTACAACTAAATATATTTCTTAGTTAAAAATAAGATTCACCGTGAGTTTTTATGTACAAAATCATCGTTTAAAATATCTATGTTTTGTTAAAGATGAAAGACAGATCATGATATGTTTTTATATAAAGATTTTGGTATCGGAAACCCACGGTTAATCTTACCTCTATCCAAAATTGCATCATTTTTTTTTACTTGAAATTATAATATATTTTATTTATAATAAAACGATGGAAAATCTTGTTATAAAGGATGTTGCAAAATCCGAATACCAACAATTTTTCATACATATACAGCGTGTCCCAAAATTCAACAATAAAACTGTAATAGTATATAGCCAGATTGATAACTACACAGGGAAAAATATTAAAAAAACATCCAACTCGTTTTGTTTAAAAGTTATATTAACTTTTGTAACTTTTCTTATAATTTGATATCCTTCACCATTAAAAAAATTGCATCCAACAATATAGGACCAAAACATTCGTATTATAAGCACAAAAAATAATTAACTTTGACTGTATCCTTGAAATTTTAGAACATTGTAACTTTTGACCAACTTTGACTACTGTATAAAAAAAAATGTATTCTTCTTCTTGCCACAGCGTCTTATCATATGGTGAAGGGTATCAAATTATAGGAAAAGTTACAAAAGTTATTTGGGACATGCTGTATACAATTTTTTTTTTCAGATACCTACAAGTGCATATTAGCTCTATTCACCCACATTCTTATGTTGGGGAGAAATTTCTATGTGTACATTGTTCAAAACCATTCAGTACTAAAAAAGCCCTTACACTGCATTTAAAGGTAAGCCTTTTTAACACCTCTGCTGATTTTATATTAAGTGTAAAACTAGCTATTGCCCGCGTATATGTTCGCGTAAATATATAAAAAAAAATGTTGAAACTGTCAGTAGCGTATACAAGATTTTAAAATTTGTTTCAAATTTCATCCAAATTTTCGCATTTATTATGTAATTAGCTGTCTCCCGCGACTCCGTCTGAATATATAAAAAAAAATAGTGAAGCCTGTGTTCTTTCAGACTATGTTCTATATGTATGCCAAATTTAGTGTAACTAACAGGACATTCTTTTATATATATAAATTAGCTGTCTACCGCGACTCCGTCCGCGCAAAACATAACAAGTAGTACATGTGTTCTTCAACAAGTAGGATATGTTCTACAGTTTTACAGTAGTAGAGCCCGCTTTAACATCTTCGCACGAATCGGCCCGGCTCGCCCGGTGAAATACTACGACCACACAGAAGACAGGCGTCAAGTGGAAGCTATTCCGCGTGCAGTCTGATGAGAGTGCGTCCCAGAAACCTAATTATAGTCCTCTTTACCTTCCCACCATTTTTCTTGAGGATGAGAGGATGCATGGAAAGGGAAAATATTTTCTTTCTGTGTATCCTCTCCTGCGGCGATTAAATTTGGCAACGCATATGCAATTGCTTATGTCTATGGGCAACGTTCACTTCGCTATTTCAGCGATTTCAGGTGGACGCTCGCTCGTTTGCCACCTTATGATATAAAAAAAGAGAACATGAGCGACAATATCTGTTATATTATTACTGTAATTGTTAACCACAATTAAATTGTCAATGTATTTTGATCTTTAAGGACCACGGTATAACGTCGAAATTCCTCTGCGATATATGCGGGAAAGTGTTCTCAGAAGCAAGACTACTGAAACTACACAAGCGAATGCATCTCGGTGTCAGACCTTACAGCTGCAGGTAGGTTTTAATTCAAGGTTTTACACTATTGGGACTATTGAAAGCGTCGGTGGCTCAGTGGTCAAGCACTTGACTTGCAATCTGCAGGTCCTGGGTTCAAATCCCGCCATGTAAGTGTTTTTAGATTTCCGATTTACATATGTACATTTACCCGACGTTCTTACGGTGAAGGAAAACATCGTGATGCTGCACATATCTAAGAAGAAATTCAAAGCACTTGAACAGCGTGGTTGACTATAGCCTAATCACCCTAAACTTAGGGGAGGCTCCGAGCTCCTCGGTGGGGACATATACTGAGCTGATGTGGAGTGAGATTGGTAGGCAGAGACTAAAGTCTCTTCCAAATAGACATATTAACATTTTTTAAAAGTTTTAAAAAATTTACTTAGTAAGTATTTTTTTTCCTTTAGACGACTTAATAGTTCGTATTTGAATGCACATGGTTCTATTTATCTTTTTGGTCTAAATGTAAAATTGAATTAATGACTGGACTGGACTGGATTGGCTCTTGAATCACAAGGTCGCATAGTTCAGGAGCCAATGTTTCTATATGTAAATGAGTGGTACAATAAATTAATTAATATTATTATTAAAATTTAAAGCTTGTGTTAAATGGTTCAAGGCGGCCGAGCTCTGAGAAGACGCTGTCGCAAGCTTAGAAACTAAAATTTTCATGTTTTTAATAATATTTTTGACCGTGGATTTTTGAGACCAAAATCTCTAAAACATATCGTCATCTCTTCCATTATTTTTGACACGACAGAGATAATATGTTTTAATAGAGGATTTCAGTCTCAGAAACCAACATTAAATTAATCATGTATTATTACAAGTATATGCAAGAAAACGTTCGCGAAACGATCCAACTTGTCGGTGCACTTGCAAACGCACAGCGGTGTCTCAAGTCATGCGTGTGAGCGTTGCGGCAAGAGGTATACGCAGAGAGGCGCGCTGCTCAGACATGTACAGAGGTATGTGACACTAGATGGCGTTGTCGCTAAACATGACTCACTAACACACGATAGATGGCGCTGTAACTAAATTTAATTCACCAACACAAGATAGATGGCGCTGTCACCAAATGTAAAATAAGTAGTCCTTTTTCTCTTTCCACACTTCTCTTATAAGAAAAGGATTGGAATGAGAAGTGGATTAGACGGAGGGGGCCACACAGGAAGGGAAAATATTCTATTTCTGTTCGTCCCTTCCTGTGTCGAATGCAAGGCAATACACCTGCTGTTGTAGATGATGGGCCAGTTGTCAGGCCGTTTGTTCGTTTGTCACATCTTACTAATATTATAAATACAAATGTTTGGATGAGTGGATGAATGGATGTTTGCTTGGAGGTATCTCTAGAACTGATGGATCTCGCTAAGATTTGGCATACATCTAGAGCATAGTCTGGAAGAAAGAAAGACGTAGTCGCGGGCGACAGCTAGTAATAATATATAAAACTTCATTCATCAAACACTAGATGGCGTTGACACTAAACAATATTTTCTATTTCTTTACCTATATTTATCTAATAACCGTAGTTTTTATTATATACGTTCCTAATAAAAATAATTTTGCTTTCAGATTTCATAAAGGTACTAATCTACAAGTTAGAAACGAAACATAATGTTTTTAACTGAGAAGATTAAAAAAAATAAAGTCAAAATGGAAGAATTGGGAAAGAAGAATATTAAAAAAATATCTGCAAGTACATTTAATTATAATTGAATTGTTTCATTTAAATAAAAATTACCATACTTTTTCCCATATATCCTCGTAAAAAACCTTAAAACAGTAGAAATTTGCATCAAAAATAGTATGAATTAGCAATAACAAAAATTTTGCGAGACTTTTGTAGCAACTAAAATATCGGCGAAACTTTTAAGCCCACATTTTTTATAATAAAGTTTAAAAAAATCATAATATATTTTTTATTAGTACATAAGTCATTTTATCCCCTTCCATCCCCTTCTTTATCTAATATACAATCCTTTTAAAAACATACAAACTTTTACTATGGGTTTCTGATAACAAAATATATATATATATATATATATATAAAAAACTTAATTAGTGTAGCCCACCCATCCATCCATCCACATCACATCCATATAAACATTCGCATTTATAATATTAGTAAGTTAAATAATCAGCAGCTCTTCAAGGCATAAATTTGAAAAAAAAAAATGAATAAATAGTATCCTATGTCCGTCTCCTGGCTATAAGCTATCTCCTCATCAATTTTCAGCCATATCGGTAAAGCCGTTCTTGAGTTATAAATGGTGTAACTAACACAACTTTCTTTTATATATATGAAGATCATCTACTACATCTTACGTAGTCTTACTTATAAACTAACAAAGAAACTAATGAATAGTCTTAAATCTATGATTTTAAATAAAATATTAAAAACGAATAATTTCTAAAATATATTATTAAAAGAAGTTCCTTTAGGCAAGGTCCCGAAGATACTGGCAGCCCTTTCGACAGCTAAACAAATTCTTTGTCCGAGGTAGCTGCCAGCTCTTGGGTCTCCTGTGATGATTTTTTGGATATGTCCTTAAATAGTTTTAAAGCGCTAGGACCCCATGGACCAAGGGTATCGACGCCGAATGGGACAAAATCATATTCGGAGCCTAGACCCCTGTATTTGCATGCATTTGCATTTTCAGCCGCTTCACAAGCCGCACCCGCTCTGTTGTTGGTTCCATCATCTCTGTATATCCTTGGAAAAACAGTGACAATATATTTTAAAAAGGATTTTTGGTCTCAGAAATCAACAGTTAGACTGTAAAAAGTCCCTTTAGCAGATATGTACCAAAAACGTCACATCCTCTGATCTATACGAAGGTCTGATGGTACATTGACCGATTTTAATGAAAATTTATGTCAACATGGAGCCCTAAATT